TAATATCTAGTCGGGTGACAAATAGAAGACGCCGTTTAAGATCCGAGAGGGCCTTTTCGAGTGGATGCTCATGCCCTTCGGCCTGTCTAATGCACTGAGCACCTTTATGCGAGTGATGAATCGGACTTTTCGAGACCTCATCGGGAAAATGTGTCGTCGTTTATTTTGACGACATCCTCATCTATATTAGTTCCATCGAGGATCACTTGCACTATGTCCGCGAGGTACTTTATTTTGCGTGTTGAGTCCTTTTCCGCCTCTTCGGGCAAATCCTCTTTCCTTGTGGATTTGGTTTTGCTTCTAGGATTCATTATTTCAGCAGATGGCCTTCATGTTGATGAGAGCAAGGTGGCCGCCATTCGAGATTGGCCGACCCCTACGACGTTCACAGAGGCTCGTAGTTTCCACGGTCTGGCTTCATTCTACAGACGCTTCATTGTTCACTTCAGTTCTATCACAGCGCCGATCACGGATTGCCTCACCGGCAAGTCCTTTGTATGGACTGAGCAGATCGTTCATGCTTTTGAATTCATCAAACGAAAGCTCACTTTGGCCTCATTTTTTGTGCTTCCAGATTTTTCCCGACCATTTGAGCTTTCTTGTGACGCGTCCAAGGTGGGTATTGGGGCTGTTCTGAGCCAGGAGGAGCGATCAGTGGCTTTCTTTAGCGAGAAGTTATCGGGTTTGCGATCACAATATAACACATACAACGTAGAACTTTATGCGGTAGTACGTTCCGCGCGTCATTGGCGACACTATTGGTTTCATCGTGAGTTAGTGTTGCTCACCGATCATGAGGCACTTCGACGTATTGCTTCCCAGGACATCATATCCGTCAGACATGCTTCATGGACATCCTTTTTGCGCAGTTCACCTTCGTCCTCAAACATTGATCTGGCGTCTCTAATCGGGTGGCTGATGCATTGAGCCGACGCTCTCTTCTCCTGACAGACATGCGTGTTGAGGTCATCGAATTTGAGCTATGATGGACAAATACGCCTCTTATGTGTTCTTTGGTCCATCCTGGCACATTTAGCATCTGGCCCGGTTGATGATTTTGTGCTCATTTTCAAATGGGTCCATTTAGGTGTCCCGGATTGCAGTCTCTTAGTGCAGCTTGTTGGGGACCTTTATGGGGCAGGCCATGTGGGTCGTGATCAGTCTGTGGTACTTGTTCAGCGAACCTTCTTCTGACCTACCTTGCGACGGGATGTCTCGCGTTTTGTAGCGCGTTGCCAGATTTGCCAGGTGTCGAAGGGCGTCGCATCCAATGCAGGTTATCACTCGCTACCAGTTCCGTCGCAGCCTTGGTGTTCCATCAGCATGGACTTTGTCTTTGGTTTGCCTCGTACTCAACGAAATAATGATTCTATTTTCGTGGTTGTGGATCGGTTCTCTAACATGGCGCACTTCATTTCGTGCAAACGGATGACCGATGCGGTGCATGTGGCACAACTCTTTTTTCAGGAGGTCTACCGTTTGCATAGTCTGCGTACCTTTATCGTGTCTGACCGTAATATACGCTTCCTCAGCTTCTTCTGGCATAGTTTATGGCGCCAGGCGAACACTAGCCTCAACTTTAGCAGCGCTTACAGCCCACAGACGGACGGCCAGACCAAGGTCGCCAATCGCTCTTAATGTAATTTGCTTAATTGCTTGGTCGGAGATAATTTGCACTCGTAGGATATGTGGCTTAGTCTGGCCGAGTTTGAGCACAATTCGACAATGAGTCGGGCTACTTGCTACAATCCATTTGAGGTTGTTTACTATATGTCTAGCGTGGTCCGACGGATTTGATCGTCATGTCTTCCTCCGACCTCGAAGATCGTTGCCTGTCCGATTTATGCCGCACTCACGAGGAGGTTCGTGCGAATTTGGAGGTCACGAGTGTCGTCTACAAGCGGCAGGCGGACATTCGTCAGCGACATTTGGAGTTTGAGGTGGGTGATTTCATGTTGGCCGTCTTGACGAAGGACCGATTTCCGACACATGAGTACAATAAATTGTTGGCCCGGAAGATTGGTCTTGTGGAGATCCTTGAGAAAATTAATCCCAACGTACGCCTACCGTCTTCGTTTACCGTTGCATATGTGCACTTCAGACGGCCTCTGCGTCAAGCACCTGGTGTCTTTTCATGGGGACAATTCTGAGGACGAGAGTGGTTCAAATCGATGGAAAATCCCCGCCAACTGGGGGAGAATGATGCCGACGAGAGTGCGTTGGCGTTGCTCGATAGACATGATGGAATCCGGACATCAGTTTGATCGTTATTCTATTTTTACTATTATTTTTCTTATTCTTTCATATTGGGCTTGTTAGGAGTGGGCTTTTAAGACTTGTTTTTTAAGGCTTTTGATGTCTTATAAAATACACCTCTTTCTTGTAATTAGCAACTAGTGATCATTTAGAATTAAAATTTATCGTTCTTGAGTTTTCTCTCCTATCACAACACCCATCGTATGCTTACTACATCAATATCTATACAAATATGATGACCAACCTATGAGCAATCCTACCTTCTTTAGAAGCATTGTTGGAGCTTTATATATTCCACTATTACTAGACCAGAGATCTCTTACAGTATTAATAAAATCAACCATTACATGCAAAATCCGGCAAAATTTCATTTTTGGTCCATTATATTGGTCATTTTCCAGAAATGGTCCACTAATTTGGCGGACATCAAATTTGATACAATAAGTTGTGAAATTCATCATTTTTGGTCCATAAGTCTACGTGGCATTTTATCCGGCGAATATGTGGACAAGTTTGATGTCCGCCACGTAGGCTCGCTTATCCAGCCCGAGTGATTAATGGACCAAAAATGATAAATTTTACAACTTATTGTATCAAGTTTGATGTCCGCCAAATTAGTGGACCATTTCTGAAAAATGGCCAATATAATAAACCAAAAATGAATTTTTACCTGCAAAATCCATTGGAATCACATTGGAAAACAGGGTCTTAAGGTATTTAGGTGGGAGCATCCACTATGACCTGCATATCACTTGTCGACCTTTCCATTTAGTAGGCTTTGCTGATGTGGATTGGGCCGCTGCTGACAGAAAATCCACCAATGAGAATTGTTTGTTCTTAGGTCCAAACTTGATTACTTGGGAGTGCAAAAAAAAATAGACTACAATGTCCCATTCTAGCACAAAAGTGAGTTTTGAAGCCTTGTGACATATGATGCTCTTTGGCTCATGTCCTTATTAACTGGACTTGGTTTTGCTATCAATAGTCCCACCACCAATTTGGGTTGACAACCTTGGAGTCGTACATCTTTCATTCATTTTATATTAGGACATCATTATGTTATTTTTGAAAAGAATAAATATATTAGGAGTTTATTTGTTCTACAATATTGTTTAATAAACTAATTAATTTATTTTAATAAACTTAATCGCAAAAAACATTCACCAACACGTGCATCGCACGTACGTACACTTTCTTTACTAGTCGAACTCAAAACTCTAAAAAGAGAAAAATTTAACTGGTGGAACTCTAATATTTGCCTTTCCGCATTAAATCTAACTGTAAATTTTCAATTTAATTCACATTGTAAGAATGATAATATGAAATATTATTTAGTAGTTTCAAAGCTCACCAGAAAGAGGAGTAAGAATGAAATAAAAATAGCCAAAAAAAAAAAAAAGAAAGATAGACATGCTTATAAGCTAATGCGATTGCAATGACACAAATGGCCTGGATATAACTTAGAAACAGCTAATCCCTCATTTCCCAGACTCTTATCTTTGTATATTATCTTCTTTGCCTCATTTTGTTTTTTTTAATTCCTTCACACTTCAATTTTCTTTGCTCAATTGCTGTTGTTTGAAATGTTAAAGAAATTTATGTTCAAATGCGATGAAATTAGCTTGAAAAATATATAAGACTATGATTGAATGACATACAAAAAAGTGTTGCTAATAATATATGTTTAATTTTTATTTTATTTTTTTAATTCATAACAGTAGTATAGGTACATTTTTCGTTTCTTTTGGATAGGAATTAATTGTAGAAAATGGAATATTAATGTACTAAGTTATAATCCACAACATTATATTAGTGTGTGTGTGTGTGTGTATTGGTACGTGCAAGTGATATAGTAGCGTATGAAAGCCTCATAGCAACTCCAACAATGCGTTGGAGTTGCGTTTTACTCTTAAATAGCACATAATATACGCTCCTGTCACACGCTACATTTTTGAGCTATTGCTAATAAATAAACAGTGTTGCGCCGCTTCTAGCACAGCACTGTGGCAATGTGCCATAATTTTTTTTTTCTTTTTTTCTTCGTATTTTTAATGTAATATTAATGACAATTTTTTAAATATTGT